TATTATATGTGATGTTTTTCTAAAAAAAAATTTGATTTGATTTTAATGAGCAAGAAATTGTTGGCATCAAAATGTTACTATGAGCGCAACAATGTTTCACATATTCGAAGGTAATTAAGACGACCAACTGAAAACATCAACAACATACTACACAAAACTATGCCAAATGTGGGTGGAATATGATCGCGCAACATTGTTGTACGTTATCTCTACTTTAAATCAGACAAAAACCTATTTCGGACTCTGATTCGGTTTAAAAAAACTTTTTCATACAACAAAACTTCTTTACAAATGCAGAACTGGACTAATTTTATTAGAACAAATCTAGTGGAACGAAAATAAGCAATCGGTTTGATAGAATTTTTTTTCAATTTTTACAACCGCATACACACGCTCATGAGCAATTTTTTTACAAACATTTTATCGGATAATTTTCTGACCAGAAATAAAAAGAACAACAAAACCGAATTGAACCAAACAAATGGCATACAAAATAACCAAGAATTATGCGATATTCACTCAGCTGTGTAAGTTGGACCGAATGTGGTGTTCATGTGAAGACAGAATGATAAATGATATTCGGTGTTCAAGCAGCAGAAAGTCATAGGTAGATGCACCCTCTAAAATGTTCTTCAACAGCTTCGAAATTTCAATAATAAAAACACAACAAAATTAAAATAAAAGTGTGCTTTAAAACACACCGTTTTCTCAATTTACCAGACTCAGGCGCAGTCCAACCAGTAAAAACGAGACAGCAATAGTTGCTTCAACACTGTTGGCTTCAAATGCACAAAAAATTTGTAAAAATGAAATACACCAAGTGAATATAGAAAATGCTCTGACATTTTTACGAGTGTAATTGCTCGCAATAAAACAATATATTCTCGGCGTTTACTTTGCGACAAGCATTTTACCTCTTGCATCTCGTCTCATTTCTATTGAATTCACAACAATTACCGTTTGTTCGTGTGGTTGTCGTTGTTCTTTTGAAATGGAAAGACAATTGTGTAGTGTCTTTTATTTTAGTTTTCGGTTATGATTCAGTTGACAAAAATGAAATAAGAATTTTTCTGGTGTTATTTATGTGGTCTGGTCGCAATCAAAACTTCTTTATTTATAATCACTACCTGTTATTATATAAACGAAACGATCAAATGCACTCGAAAACAAAACCAAACAAAAGCAATCGTATAACGTTTAAAAAGTCGAACAGCCAGTTATGCTCAACATGATATTAATATTGATCTTGAAAATTCACAAAGATAAATAAAAAGAAAGATGAAAACTTGATGGGCCCTATATATTTTGTGGTCACTAATTGATTTAAATTGATGTTATGTAGCAATAAAAATGATTTACAGCAATATGATCGCATGAAATACGTAAAGCACACATACACATGGGCATGTATTGCCATAGAATTTTGGTGTGTGCTACAAAATCTGGTACTGTTAGCAATTGAATAACTGCCAAATATAATAACAGAGAGACGAATATCGCCAGAGACGTAAAACATAGAGTCAGTGACATGCTTGCCCTAGTTGTTTGGAACCATTAGAGAGACATTCCATTTGTCGATGCAGGGAGAGAGGCAATATGATTTGGTTTCGCTTGAGACATCTATGTGCAAATAGAAAAATGAAATGTTATCCTGGATTTTTGCCTTTTTTTTCTCTTTTCTCCCAGGATACATTCAATTGCAGTATAGCTTTTGCAATGAAATCAGGATTGACGAAAATACATGTATGAAATTGTAGTTTAGATACTTTGCGCTGAGCGCATACTTAAAAGTACGGCTTATTTTCATAAAAGATTTCATGAATGGAAAAACGCTTTCAAAAGTGAGGGAAGTGCTTTGAATTATCGAAGAAACTATAAATAGTGTATTTTTTCAATTAAAAATAATAATAAATGAGAATTGTTATTTAATTATCAAGAAGCTCAGTCCTGAAAATTGGTAAAAGTCATAAAATTCAATTCGGAAGAATTTCAAAGGGTAAAAAGAGGTATTTTTAGCTCAACTGGTCATTTATTGGGGTTTAGTTTAAAATTCCATAAGTGAGGATTTGCATCGACTTAAAAACAATTATCCGAGACTAAATTTGAAAATGTCATTGATGGAAAATTGGATAAATTCCCAAAATGTGCCTAATCTTGTTTGCACATACTGTGTCAATGCGTACTCTGAAAGCAATAGGTGAAAGATAAACTCTTTTCAAAATAAACGCTCTTGTTTTAATATTCAATTGAATTTAATCCAATTCTGCAAATAAATCGCTTAGGTTTTTACCATCTTTACCATTTATGGTCATTTCATAGCACACAATCTCTGTACTATTTTCGCAGCGTGTGTTTCTTTTTTGAAAAATTGAATTGTTGCCATTCATGACATTTGTACACCTTTGATTTTTACCTCTTTCTTCAAAAAAAGTAGACATATGCAAACGAAAGGCTTGTCGTGAACAGAAATAACCCATTTTGTTCAAGGTCAAAGCAACAGTGTTTTTTTTGTCGAAGACATTCTTTTTATTTAGAAAAAGTTCCCTTTTTATCACACAACAATTCGAAACAAAAAGTATTCCATGTATTCAAAAATGGCTCTTCGCAAAAATTCATTTGCGCACAGCTAGACATTGCAGATTTTGGCACATTAGCAATTAAGAATAACTATAATATCACCTCAATGACTTTCGACTAGCAAATCGGCTTGACAGACACATGCTCTGGTTCACACTGTGCAAATGCATTCGATTCAGTTTGTAAGTGATTTTCAAAACCAAAACACATACTTTAAACTAACTTAACGTTTGGAGTTTTTTTTTTCTTATTGATTTCGATTGAAAAGTGTACGACTCGTATAAGGCCCTATAGTAATTGCATTAAGTCAATGACAAATAAAATGATATCTAGCACAAAAACCTACGTAAAATTTCAAAGTCAATAAAATACAATAAAACCAATGACATTTCCTAAGAAAAATTCAATTAAAACTTATGTGACTCTTTTCTTTCCCTCCGCGGTTTGAACTAAACAAATATATGCCAAAGTGAAATTCCAAAATACTTACATGGTTAAAATGACATCACACGCACACACAGTTTGAGTTGTTGATTTTTTCTCTTTCGTTCAATTTGAATGAATTCGTAATTAATTCAACTTAATCAATTTTAATCAAGTTCGTGCTTTTTTGGGGAGAAAATGAGTGGAAAAAAAAACTTTGGTGTCTTCTTAATTAAAACACAACAACAAAAACCACTACAGTCCACTTTTTCGATTCGAAAATAATATGTAATCAAAAGGAAAACGTCGAGTAACGGCAGACCGAGCAGATCGACAAACGAAAAACGGGCCGCATTTTTTTCTTCATCTTCTTCTTCATTACAGAAATGGAAAAATCCAAAAGAAAATAAACACAAAAGTCAAGTAAAAGAGATAAAGAAGGAACAGAAAAAAACAATAAAAATCGAAAATTTTTAAAAAGTGTCTACTGGCTACTGGCTATAATCAAAACTTCTCACACACAAGGCACACACAAAGAGTTGTTCAGTGAATATATTCTCGAGTGAGTTTTTTTTTTCATTACGCTTCAAAATAAAAACGATCAAAAAGAATTTCAGTGAAGAAAAGAGCATAAAGATAATATTTAAATGAACGAACGACCAAATGAAACGATAGAAGAAAAAAAAAGTTCGTATCAAATTCTTGATGACGGAAAGCGCGCACATGTTTCAAAGTAAAGGCGGTAACAAAATGATTGAGACGCCGCCCATTATCGTATAAAACCAAAATTTATGGCTTTTAAATGAAAATATGTGCTGCTGCGCACAGCGAACATAAACCGAAGTGTGGCAAAGCAGGCAGAACGAACGCTAGTACGCAACTCATGTATGCACACATACGGGACGAACAGAGATAGGGAACGAAAGAATGACGATAGAAAATACGCAACACAAGGCAATTGGAATGAGATAGCAGTGTTTTATGTGGTTTTCATATGTGTTTCGTCTTTTCATTTCTTCTATTCGTCGTCGTGCGATTACTTTGAATTTTTGAAATTTTAACGTACGTTGATGATGTTTTTGTTGAGAGTTTTTTGAGATATTATGATTTTTTATCTTTAAAATAACAAAGAATGATAAAAATTTGCTGATATTTGACAATTTTGCTTTTAAAAAATTCATTCATGATCGATAAAATGCATTGAATTCTTAAGGAATAGCATAGATTGTCTACCATCTCATTTCAACTCACACGCTTTGTCTATATTTTATCCTTTGCGCGGCGAAACAGCATGATCTGTCTGTTTCACATTTACGTCGACACATGGCCGTATATGCGACCGATCAACGAGTGAAACGACTGCTGGTGAAACGATTCGAGGTGATTGTGTGCGAGACAAGGCCAAACGATAATTGCCTCTTTATTGCTCGTATGATTTACGGCATTCAGTCATTTCACTTGCTCTTACCGCATCAAGATTTATGGTCGTGTATTGATGTATATTCAAATATTTAAACGGAAATTTATGGTGTGCAGCACAGCTATTGCTGTTGGTTGAAGAAAGGCCGATTATGCACACATACGCATTGAATTTTCTTAAAATAGTATGGTATCGTTGCCATTGGCAGTACGTTTGTGTACATGTGTATTTCTTATGCGCAATAGTCGAGCAATCATCGGTGTGGCATCGAAATACAATACAACCTCATAATCGAAGCCCGTTCGTTCATAACGGATGTGTGGTAGTGTCTCTCTTTCGGCATTTGTCTGTTGACTGTGTAGCTTACTAGCATATGTTGGATATATCATACACACACACATCGTGTCGTCGTGGAGGATACAGATACGAATGAAATAAAAAAACTCTCGCACATCGTAAATTGAAGTATATTTTTGTGCGCCGTCACATCTCTCGCTCTCTCGCTGGCCTCTCCATCTCAAAAACTTTGGTGTATTGTACGATTCAAATGAAACATTAAGTATTAATCGTGCGCCGCATGTGCATCGAATCGCACACTCGCAGAGACCAAACACAAAAATACCAGCGAAACCGAAACAGTGAACAAATATATATATTTATCGTGGGCAAATGGAACAATTTATATACATCGGAATCAAGAAAACATTACACATTTTATCATCATCATTCGTAATTATTGATATAAAATAAAACAACACCATCGTATTCTTGTTTCAACCACGAACGACGACGGCAACGTGAAACTGAACGAGCGCAATATTCTTTGCTAAGAAGTTTTCGTTTTTTATTTAACGCGGTGGTTTATATATTTACACGATTTTGTTCAAACAAACAAACAAACAAAAAAAACTATTCTTTTTTTGGTGTTTTTAAATCAGTGATTTATTTTATCTTATGTGCTATTGTACACTCTTCAATTGTACCGGTGTAATTGTTCTTTTTCAGTTCAATTTGTTTCGTTTATTTACTCAGTAAAATTACTGTGTGCAGTTTTTTTTAAATCATTAAATTTTGAGGCGAAAAAAAAAACAGAAAAAAATACGGAGATGATTTGCAATTAAAAAAACATTTAAAAACATTTTGCATCTGATTTAGATGAGAATCAAAACAGGATCATTTATTTTAATTGCTTTAACTACGAAACATAAGTGGAAAATCTCATTTTATATGATTACTCTTCCGTAAAAAAAATTACAATTTGGAACGATGTAAAATAGTTTGAAAGAGAAGAATAAAAAAAACATCACAGTGTGGGAAATTGAATATTTATTGAACGTTCAGTGCTCTTGTCAGCTTTTAACTTTGAACACGACGAGTGGAGTGTGATCGTATGATACAGAAAATTTGGACAACATATTTTTTGGAGTTTGTGAATTTAAATCGCAGGTGTGACACAAAGTAAAAAAAAGATACTTTTTTTGAATAAAAAAGAAAAGCGAAGAAAATCAACGGAAATCTCAATTTTGAAAAAAAGGTAGGCTGTGAAAAGCTCAATTTTTACACCTTTAAATTTTTGGCAAAAAATGGAAAAATAAAAAAATCAACAACTTTTTCCTCAAAAATGAAGATATTCCATTGAATTTAAAAAAAAGTAAAAAAAAAATGTGTGAATATTGAATATTTGCGCGACCGAATGAAAAAAAAAATATCTCCGCATTTAAAATGGCATAAATCATTCGAGAGAGCTAAATAAAAATCAACAGCGGATTGTGCCTGTGTATTGTTTCCATTATTTTATGAGGTGCTTACAAATTTTACGACTTTTTAATAGCTTCAATTTACTTCGCCTTGTTCACATTGTTAGGGAGTGCGCTCGAATTGCATTTCTTCTTCATTTTTGTTTGTTATCTTTTCCTCTCTGTCTCTCGCTCGGTTTTTCACATCGTTCTATAAAATCGTTGGAACTCATAATCACACACAACAGTAAGCACATGAAAAAGCGCAACCAACCGCACAGCATCTCTCTTTCTCTTATTCAATCTGACAAATCCATAAATGTAATTTCTGTGTGTATGTGTTTTTTTTTCTACACACAACGAGTAGGGTTTGAGTGTGGCAATAATGCAAAACGTTTGCATTAGTCACAATTTTAAATTCAAATCGGTTGTTGGTTTCGAAGCGAATGCAAAGAGAATGGGATTTAATTTGGTATGTAAAATAATTCGTCTGGTTCCAATTTTGAACAAACAAAAAAAGGTTTAAATTGAAATCACACAAATTATGAATATTTAATTCAATTTTTCCTTTTGTTTCGTCACTCTGAATGTCATGCATATTTCTTAAAGAGATACTCTTCCTTAATTCTGCTGAGATTTAATGTTAAGCAAAATTTGATCATGCCCCGAAATTGGTTCACCATATGTGAAAGGAAATCCAAATATTAGACAAAGGACGTACACAGAGAGAAAGAATAAGTAACCTTTTTACCACCAGCCCGTAGAGCTCTTCACAAAAACGATTTTCACGGTGCGTTTACCATCGACCGAACGGAGACAAATTCAAACAAAGAGAACCAGAGAAACAAAAGCGGAAAAATCAAGTCAAAATGTGTTGTTGTTTGTTGCGTATATATCGTGTGTATGTTTATCGTGCGAAATGATTTATATGACATCTCTCCGGCTTTTTTTGCTTTCTTCTTATAGTATTTTTAATCGACAAATTGAATAAAACGGATGTTTTTCAACCTGAAAATCATTTTTGTTGATCTTTTGTGGTTTTTGATGATCATAGCATTTATTAGGCTTCTGATTTCAACATATTATTTATTTCATTTGTTAATAAACAAGATATTCGAACGAAGTTTTTTTTTCTGCAGAAAAACTTCCTCGAATAAGAAATAAATTCAGACTTAACAATGAAATAATTTCACTTTAATTGAAATAAAATTCAAATTTCTATCGTCGATCTAATCTAAATCTACAGAGCAAATTTAAATCAAGTTAGACTTTGTAAGAAAAACCACAACATAACAAATAATAGATGCTTTTGCAAATGTGCATTATCGGTTTAAAAATCCGAAATCTCAAGAAAATCTCTCGAATTCCACAGACAATGTTGTCTTCCCCCCAAATTGAATGTTAAACGAAATAAAGAACGGTTACCAACAGAAAAAAACTTGAAAGTTCATGGGTACTTTATTGGATTATACGATTGCCATATTCAAATCTTGATTCAAATTCTATTCTTGAAGTTCGAAATAATTGTTGGTGTTTCATAACAATTGAATTTCGTTCCCTTTATTTTACTTTCTCGTTCCATTCAATGTGTTTGTACTAGATACGGTTCATCGTTTTTTTTAAATTGCCTACAAGAAAGTGTTCTCCACCCTTTTTTTCGTAAAGCTTAATCTCGCCATGCATCGAGAAGCTATTGATTATTTTCACATTAAATTGATTTCGCCGTCTTAAATGTTATTTAAATAAATTATATACCTGTAAATCGAATAACGGCACAATCATATGATTGTTGTGATTCGTTCGCGCGCGAAACAAAGACTTTATTTCAAGTGCATGAAAACATTGCGCTCACCATAAATCTGATAATGTTGATACAGCGCGATATTATGTGGAAATCACTTTATTGCGACCCATTTCTTTTTCGTTACTTTTTTGCCTTCTTTGCTGTTCGGCATGAGTTCGTAAAATGGACAAAACGTTTATTGATCGATATATTGCAGCGACTTTATCCACGATTCAAGTGAACTTGATTAAGTCATTATTATCGATTACCCGTTAACAATGGCAGTGTTTCATTCGATTACTTCTTTACGTTGAAAAAAAAAAAAACATTACGAAAATTATGCCCCATTGAAAATGTGATGAAAGAAACCATTTGATAAAAAAAATGCAGATCGGAAGCGCAATGAAGAATATGGAGAATTTTTTTTTTTTGAACGGATGAAAAGATGTGATTTTCAAATGAAATTGAAATAAATCGATACTGAACTGCACGAACACAAAGGTTAATGAACAATGTTTTAGCAGAGGAAAAGGGTTATTTCGAAATGAGTTTTGCGCTTCTTCCTTTGCACGCATTGCATAGCATGAATTTATACGTCACACTGAAAACTTTGGATTCCCGTTGTTTTTTTTATTTGTGTGAACATAACTGGTTCGGTTCGAGTGAAACTTCATCGCGTTTTCGTTTTGCTTATAGTAAACACTCCATTAAATTACGTTGAAAGAATAGTTTCCAATAAATGCAAAAAAAGGAAACCGAAGGGAAAAAATCAAGAATAAGATAAAACAAAAATATATAAAAAGGAGAAACATGAATGCGAAACTGGTCAAACCTATAATTTTAAGCCAATGGGCAATCTTGTGTGTGATTAACACACGATCGTCAATACAACAACAATTATATTCCTTTTCAAGCTTGGATGACCGAATGACTTGTGCGAAAAATGTTTTTTTGACTTGTGCGAAACAAAATAAAACATATACATACAACGAGAGAGCGAAAAAAAATCAGCAATTTGAAGATGATCGAAATCATACTGAACGAGTAAAAAAAAATATCATGCTTGAGCACGATGGAATGACCGATCAAAAATGAGAATAAAAGCGACCGGAATGAGTAGAGAAACGGCAAAAATTCAACCGAAAAAATTTCTTTTTTTCCATGTTTTTTTCTTTTCTTTTCATTTGCTTGTGCTCCTTTGTATGTCGAATATTTTGTTGCGTGCTGATATTTGTTAATACGCGATCAAAAATACGACCTCTAACGTTTGGTTCGTAAAATGCATCGTGTGTTCATGTTTGATTAAATGGCCGACATTTTTCGCCGTTTGCAAACTTTTATTCGGTACTTTTCTTGTTCATTTTGTTCCACCTGAATGTTGTGAACATTTTCGCGCATAATATAATTTAAAATACATAAAACGTAATTAAAATGAAATGGAAGTTCTTCAAACATTTTCACTTGTAAACCATAAAACAAGTGGAAATTACCCTTTCATATTTTGTGAAATTAATTATTTTTTTTATCTATTTTGTTTGTTTTGTTTTCTAGACAAGTGTAAGACCCAGTGTGCAATAAAACAAAGAAAAAAATAATTTGAGAAAAAGAAGAAGAAAAAGTACGACTTACTCTTCCACTCCAAAATCAATCAACATCAACGGTATCCAAAATGAATCCAGAGAATTTTGCAATGTCTTCATATCAATTTGTCAATTCGTTGGCATCTTGTTATCCACAATCGCAACTAGGACAACACGGTGGAAATAATACAAGTAACAATACATCTACCTCATCGGGCAATAATCAGGCATCAGCAAATAATGATTATTTTCCACCATCGGCCTATACGCCAAATTTATATTCGAATACACCGCAAGCGCACTATGCAAATCAAGCGTACAATTTGGGTGGACAACAAAATCCAAATGATATGGTCGACTATACACAATTGCAACCACAACCACAACGATTAATGCTGCCGAATCAACAGCAACAGCCTGCAATGAATCCAAATAGTTGTAAATATGATCCGGACGCGGTTAAAATCAGTGCAACAAACAACAATAATAACAATAATAATACAACATCGCTCATATCAAGTCCACAAGATTTGACAACTGGACGTGATATTTCACCGAAATTATCGCCGACGGTTGTTGAAAATGTGGCCCGTTCGCTGAACAAGAATAGCGGCGGTGGTGCAGGCGGTGGCGGCAATGTCTCATCAACAAATCAAAACAATCCATTAGGTTTAAACAACAATAATAATAATGTGAATCATACAAATGTACCGATGTCAATGCACAGCCCAAATGGCGGCGACTCGGACACGGACAGTGAAAGCGGCAACGAAGCAGGTGGCAGTCAAAATGGATCAGGCAAAAAAGGTACACCACCACAAATCTATCCGTGGATGAAACGCGTACATATCGGCACAAGTAAGTTATAAATCACTTTTACTACTACCACTACCACTACCACTTTTTCAATTTTCAATTCTTATTCCATTTCGGTTACACAAGTAGAATATAGTATAGATTTCAATGTGTCCATCTTTGATTGATTCAAGACAAGTACAAGTGAATGTGAATGTATGAGCGTGTATGCGGGCATGTTTTATTGTAGGCACGAGCATTATAAATGATATGTTGAACATTCTCAGACAGATCGACCAGCGACAGTTAATGCCTAGAAACGCATGAACAACATTTAGCCACACTGAATACCAATTACTGTCGATTTACAACGATATAATTATCATCGGACCAAATACAACCACACACATATAATTATGTTGTTTCTACCAATCTCAATTATTGTTACAGCTTATTTCATTGTAGCGGCTTGTTTTTTCTCTCATTTGGTCAAGTGGTCAAGATTAAGAAGAATTCATTTTCTTTTCGTTCCCGATAATTTCGTTTTTAAATTGAAATTGTTTCCGATTTGAAGATGTAACATTTTCTTTGAAACTCAACATTTTTTTGCAAACCTTCGATGATTTTCACTGTTTGTTGATCTCCTTGAAGCTTTTTTTCGAAAAAAATCCTTTAAAAAATAACTAATGCACGTTTCCAAATGAATTACAAGCGAGTAAAGCGTTTGAAATATTTAATTTTCACACTTCGCACGTCCAAATGATTTTCGGTTCCTTTTTTTTCAAAAGAATTTTTTAACTGTTTGGCATTTTCGTGCCCTACATTTATTTTGAGCGGTTGCTTTCAAACCATGCACTGCGCATATATTTCAATTGTAGCCCGTCTGCTAGTTTGAATGACAGAAAGGAATTTGATGAATGATACTTTTGAACATGAAGCGTTTCGTTTTCATCTCTATTTTTTTTTTTTAATTTTAAACGAACATTGCGGAATTTTACTCGTCTGTATGAAGAGCTGGATACGTTTGTTTCGTATATCAAAATAAAAAAAAATCGATGAGAGACTTAATGGAATTTGCCATTCCATTGAGTATATGTGCTTGTGGGGAAACAATGGAAGGGAATAATCATTATTATAATGTGTTGTCGGGTAAAATGTCGAAGTAGACAATGCGTTGACTTTGTTGACATTCTCCCTGTGTAATAATTGGTGTTATTTGTTTCATCTCGTTAACGGTGTTTGTTGCGCGCATTTTCGTTTTCGCAGGAAATATAATGTGTCGAAAATACCATTAATGAAACTGTTAATTTTCATTTGCACGCTTTTACTTACGCCAAAAGTGCAGTCAAGAACATAAGTGTTCGATTTTAAGTGGCAATTCGCTGATCGAAAGAAACAGACTCTATGTTTTTCAAAATGATTAATATTCATTTTTATTTGGGTGCAATACATCACACCGGTGGAACTATTTTCTGGCAGTTACTTTGCCATTTGGCTTTGTTTAGATCAATCGGACTCGTGGCCAATTGTACTTATTAGCTTATTATTAATACCTATTCATTACACTTTTTTTTACAGTAATGTTACACTGTGAAACTGACTTACACACTTGGAATATATACTAGAAATCGTTACTAAATTCAAATCAACCTACAGATAGAGAGAGAAAAATAGAAATCAATTAACATTGTTATTCGAACTGACACATGAATTTTCATCATTGTATCTCGGAATGTACGCCGTATATTATGCGCGATCTAGTTTTTTTATGTTCAATCAAACACCGAAGAAATGAAAAAAAAAATCTTTACTGAACACAAAAGTGAATGAGAATCAATTTACACGCGGCGCAATCACTTTTCTCTCTCGCACTAGCGGCGTGTCGCTTGCTCTTTGTTTATTGCCAATTAATTTCAATGTAGCGAGAAAAATAAAAAGGAAAACCCATGTACTTTGATTCAATTAAAAGATTATTATTCTGAAGTTAAATTTTCATTTATCATTTTTGCGCAGTTAAAACGCCATACACATTATTCGGTTGCATACTGCATTTCAAGTAAAAAAATATATGTTAAATTTTCCTTATAATTTTCTGTTCATAAATTTTTAAAGAAATAAATTTTCTTCGCAATTATTCGAATAATATGTAGAGAACACTCTCTCTCTCTCTCTTGTCGTCATTTTATGCTGTAGACTCTCTATTGATTTAATTATATTTTGGTCACGACACTTAAATTATTTTCGTTACATTAAATTAAGCAGAGAATATGAACGACCAAAAAGCATAACAATGATTGGATGCAATTTTTAATGCCATCTTTTCATTGTTGTTGTTTTCGATAATCAACGAAAAAAAAAAATATAATATAAAAATGATTGGACGGGGAGAGAGCGAAAACATATTTTTTTAAAAATATTTTTGTGAAAATTTGCTTCAAGGCAAAGCTGTTTTTATCTTCTCGTTCGAGCAATTGAAATTTGACGAGCAACGAAACTTGGCAGGATCATTTTCACTGGCTGCTGTTCACAATGAAATTTTATTTTCGTGCATCTTATTTGAATGCAACCGAAAATTATTATGTGCAAATTTATTTTTGATGAATTTTCACGAACACAAAATATGTATTTTCATCAAACGTGACATAAAACGGTTAAGCCACTGCATGACAGAGCACGCAAACTGCGTGCCGGGGTTCTCATTTTTTTTCATCGACAATTATTTGAAGCAACATAATTGTGTTGAACGCTTAGGCGAGCCAATGCGTAAACGTTTTCTTTTTTTCATTTGTGCAAACATGAAGAACGAAAACCTTATATGTCCATGGCAATGGTGCAACAACCAATATCTAAATTACATGTTTACTTCAGAAGCCTTTCTGTCTAATTTGCAGCTAATAAATACTTCCCCGGCCATTTATGATGAAATTAAATTACCAATTGGAGCAAAAGGAAAGGAAAAACACGGCCAAAGCTCATGGTAGAAAAATGCAAACATGAAATAGTCATTTACATTAGCAGACTTTTTATCGCATTGAAATCAATCTGGAAAATAGAAGGTTGTTGCAATCGCATATGCAATTTTCCAGTTGTTGTTTTTTTTTTGTAATGAATTGTATGGTTTTTTTAAGAGCCAAAGACTAACCATGGTTGTAGACAGCCGACGCTGTAATTGAATATACACATTCAATTAAACAGTAAAATTTAATCGATTTTCAATTTAAATTGATGGATTTCAATTTAAAGGTGCTTTTTTGTTATTGTCGTTTCTTTCTCTACGGGTATCATTTCATTCACTTGAATTTGATGGCACAGGTGTTAAATTGAACACCATTTTGATTTGATTTAAATTCAACCACCTAATTCAACTCGTGTTGATTCCATGATAACGAGTCATTATAAAAATCAATGTGATTTCAACAACTTTTGAAAATCTGTGCCAAGATTGATAAAAAACAAAAATATTTTTTGGTTTCAAATACATTGTTTAGATTGAACGACCAGTCAGTTTTCACCATTAATTGAACATTAGAAAAAGTATGGCCGATGAAAAATACAATTTGCATAAATGTTACCTTGAAATTCACGTTCGAAATGTTATCGTTTTTGCAAGTTGTTGTTTTTTTTTTTTGTTTACGCTAAAATTAGCATAAAATGCGTGTTTGTTTGTTGCACAAGAAATTTAAAGAGAAGAAAAAATATTCGATATAAAATGGTGTCCAAGGTATTTCCCTCCTCAAAAAAACCTACATGTATCTGATTTACATATCAAGTGAAATCATTTCGGATGAATCGAAAGCCCATTTAATTTGTTCTGTTACCAACGGCCATATTTGGTGTGTACAACGAAAATTCGCTGCGAAACAAACAAACACGAAAAGAGTCCACTCGTGAAAAAAAAATGTAAAATGAAAATGAAGATGCGGCATAATGATTTCACTAATTGTTAATTTCCAGTTAAAAAAAACTCGGTTCGATGGAATATAATCAGCATAATTTCCATGAGACAAAAGTGGGCAATTTCAGTGAAATGCAGGCATGTAAATGGCATCACAAAAATTATGTATATATTTCTCATTTCGAAACATATTATAAATATATTTTTTTTGCTTAATAAAGCAATTTTACCGAAATTTAATTTTGGTATTTAAAAGTCAACGAAAATTATTACGATTTACGTGATTGTAATATATTTTTTCCATATAAATTTTTTTTTTGATTTACACCCAAAAGCAATGCATAGCAATTATTGAGCCACATTGATTTAGTTGTTCCGTTTCACATTGCATGCCGGAAAATTTGTTCATTTTGAACAATATAATTGCACTTGTTCGTTGGCCATAACCAGCCAGCGCCATTACAAAAGTAATTCGATTTCTCGAAGCAACCAATTCAAAAAAGCCAGTTCCATGAAGTTTCAATTTTTTTTTTTTGTACTTTCTGGAGAAAACATGTTTTTCTGGCTTCTTTCTGGTGGATCTTGACATCGAAAATTTGGTAAAATAATGTCTCCCCATTGGCAAATAACGGTTTCGTTGCCAATGTTTTACGAAATAAAGTCATTTCCATTTGTGGCTTATTTAAAGAATGTTTTTTTCTACCTCTCATCAAGCAATTATTGTAATTATAAACAAGTTGAATAAAACACGATCATACAATTATTAATTGCGTCTACAACAATATTATTTACGACATTTTTCGATATTCGTTGTTTTCCTCCTTTTATTCTGAATGAACGATGGAATAACGGAATAGTCAAGCGTGTGTTTTCATTCTGCATTGACACTATGATCACCTTTTGATTTTGAGTATATGCAGATGAATTTGCGTTGCTCTATCATTGTACCTCATTTGTTGATGTTATTCTTGTATTTTTTTATCGAATCAGTTATCGAATACATTACATTCATTAATCAAAAGGGTAATTTGTAGAAGAAAAACATACACGTCAAAGATCGATATGTCGCATACTGATAGATTGCTATCGATTACTGATGCAAAAATGCAATTCGCGACAAATGATGAACATAATCACGCTTTTTGACTTCCACCCAATTCCAATAACA